AGGGAAGGAGGGAGGGAGGGGGAAAGACCAAGCCAAGGGAGAAGTCAGGAGTGTGCAGCAGCAGGAGTGGGACGGAGCTGCCCAGGGTCTGACTTCAGGCCACCTGGGACAGCCAGGCCTGTTCCTTCAGGTCCCTTTTTGCCTCTGGGTAAGGCAGGAGGCCTCTGGAATGAGGGTCTGATGATCGAGGTCACAGGAACCCTTTTTATGGCCTGCTTCAAAGGAGGAAGGCAGGACAGGGGCAGAGTGCGACCTGGCTGCTGCGGTTTTCTCCATTTCCTCGGGGTGAAATGCTGTGTTTGGGTGCTGTGTTTTGAGCCCCCGCAGGGTGTGCCAACAAGGGTCAAGGAGTTATTAAACACTGATGGAGGACCCACCGCCAGAGCTTCTTAGTCAAAAGTCTGGGGTGGGCTGCTAGTTGGCGCTTGTAGCAAGTTCTGCTGGACTTGGCAGGTGCTACTGCTGGGCCAGGGTGCGCACTTGATGAACAGCCTCGGATCTGGTCCCCAGGTCCCATTCCGGATCAGTCCTGGGTTCCTGCCAGTCTTCATCTCATTGCACCCCGACAGCCAGCCGGCGGCGGGGTTGCAGGAGCGTCGTTTTAGGGATGAGCTGCTCAGGTCGGGCAGCCACAGCGGAGCCAAGTCTGGGTCTGAACGCTGGTCTTTCCAAAAGCCGGAGAACCCCGGCGCCACCAGTTTCTTCGAAATCTGAGAAACTCTCTTGGAAACTGCAGCACATTCCAAGGTGGAGGGCACGCCCCAGGCTACCGCGTCGCGAACCTCGCGGCCTCCCTCCCACCCGGACAGCCTCTCCCTCCCCGGCCTTCGCGCAGCTCCGTGGAGACACGGCGCCCCCTGGTGGCTGCTCTGCAGCAGCGTCTGCTCCGGGCCGGGCGCGGGGGTCTCCCGAGTCCCAGGCGGTCTGCGGCCCCGTTACTAACTCGCCATTATCCGTCCGTTCCATCCGCAGGGAGAACGCGGGGTGTTGAAAGAAGGCGGGGACTTCAGAGCTGAGGAATGCAAAGGACGGGCGGTGGGCCGGTCCCTAGGGATCTCGGGGGCTGGCAGGGCCCAAGCACAGGTGGCAGCGATGGCTCTCACCTTGGACCTTCCAAGCCTGCAGAGGAATGCGTGCGCCCCTGGCCGTGGCTGCCCGTGAGCTGCTCCATTTGTTCATATATTTTTCATTTGGCAGATATGACAGGGCCTGCCAGGTGCCAGCATTATTATTCTAACTGCGGGGGACAGAGAAATAAACAAGCAGAGCTGGGCACGGGGTGCCCGCAGCCATCCCAGCGACTGGGGAGACCCAGGTAAGAGGATCGCCGGGTTCTAGAGCTGCCCCAGCAACTGAGTGCGACCCGGTCTCAAAAATTAAAAAGCGCTGCGGAGGTGACTCAGCGGTAAAGCGCCCCTGGGTTCGGTCCCAGTACTGCAAAAATAAGTGAATAGCATGACTCTTGCTCATGCTGAGCTGGGATGGCCCCAGGGTTTGGGTCCTGAGGGCCCTCTTTCTAGATGGTTCCGGTACATTCCCAGTCCAGGGGCTGGGGATGGAACCCAGGAACTTGATCATGCTGGGTAAGCGCTCTACTGAGGAGCTACACCCTCCTCTAAGTTCCTGTCCAAAAACAAACAAACAAACAAACAAACAAACAACAACAACAAAAGCATCTCCAGGTTGATGATTTCCCTACTTAGGTTTCCTGTCCCCCTAACCCTAACCCTAACCGTAACCATCAAGGTTGTCTAAAACAGAATTCTTGAGAACCTCTTGCCCCACTCTTGCCTTTCCATGTGATTTTGACAAACCACAGACTTGGGGTGGTCCTTATCTCTTTCCCTCCCACTCCACACCAGGAGCTCCCAGCCCCCTCCCTGCCATTCATGCCACCTCTTCTCCCTGCCCCCACTCTGGCCCCACTGTGAGCAGTTTCCAGTCTGAAGTCAGGAACCTCCGGACAAGTACACCCAGGCCCCTGGTTCCTCCACTGAAAATTGCCCTTCTGTTCTGCAGCAGCCAGAGTGAACCCAATGTCTTTGCCATGGCCTCCAGTTCCCTCCTTGACCTTCCCTGGCCTCTGGTTTCATCTCCCCCCTTCTCTGCCTCCTCCATATCCAACCGGACTCCCTTTTGTTTCTCAAACTAAAACTCCCTCCCAAGGGAGCCCAGCTGGGGCTGCTTCTCCAGCATCTTCACCTTGGGGTTCCTTCTCTCCTCTGTTCTCAGTTTAAATGCCACAGCTGGATGCTTTGTGCCAACCCGGCCTCCCTGCTCACTCGCCCCACAAACCACAGTTCACCGGCTGCTCTGGTGCTGAGCAGTGCCGCCACCCGCCACCCGGATTCCAGGATTGGCCTGGGATTCTGGCCTCCCAGAAGTCCCTTCCTAGCATTTCCTCTGAGGCAATAAACAACCCCACGTCCTACCAATACATTTCTTTCTTTCTTTTGTTTTTTGGCTTTAATTAGCCAGAGGTGACTTCTCTCAGTTGTAACTAACTAAAGAACCCCAAGGACTGCAGCTCTCCTTGTTAGGAGGCCATGGGGTGCGAGAAGTACTGGGATGCTTTAGGTCAACAACCGTAATGATAACTGAGGAGAGAATACCGATGGTGTTAGTAATGCATTCAATATAGATAGGACAACAGTCCCCTCCTAGCCATGTGGGATAGGTTCCAAGACCTGCAGTGTATGTATGGGCTTCCAATTTTTTTGGGGGGGGAGGTACCAGGGATTGAACTCAGGGGACTTAACCGCTGAGCCACATCCCCAGACCCCTCCTCCCCCTGCTTTCTTTTGTATTTCATTTAGAGACAGGGTCTCAATGAGTTGCTTAGGACCTCACTGAGTGGCTGAGGCTGGCTGTGAACTCCTGATTCTCCTGTCTGAGCCCCTGGGATTATAGGCATGTTACCAATCTGTTAAACAAAACTGGGTCTTTTTTTCTTCTTTGCAGTACTAGGGACTGAACCCAGGGCACTTTACTACTGGGCTGCATCCCAGCCCTTTGTATTTTGAGACAGAGCCTCTCTAAGTTGCCCAGGTTGACCTTGAACTTGGGATCCTCCTGCCTCAGCCTCCTGAGTCATAGGCATAACAGGCTGTGGCCCTGTGTCCAGCCGCCCTGAGTCCTTTTCCCCAGGAACTGTAGAGCCCAGAGCCGCTGGCAGAGCAGCCACAAAAGGTTTGTTCTTGGCCCAAAATAGGAGAATCCTGCGAGGGAGGCTCACAGGCCGCTGGGGCCGGAGGTTACAGATACGGGGTGAAAGAAACCAGGGGCGCCCGGCCCAAGACAGGGGAGGACTCTTCATGTCTCTTTTGGGAATAGGTGGACATGTTCCAGAAACCCAGGGCCATCTCTTTTTGCTCCTTTTATGGTTCCTTCTGGTTGTTTTTCATGGCAGTCTCAACGGCTGTGGCACTGGAGGATGACATTTAGCAGGCAGATGGCACTAGGAGGTCACAGTGGTTCCCCTGACAGGGACCTGCCATCCTCTGGGCTTCAGTCAGCCACCTGAAGAGGAACTCTGGCCTCCAAGCCTCCTGTCCTCAAAGATAAGCAAGATTCAGGCAGGATGGGAACTCCGGGAGGTCACCTGGGGAGCGGGATCAGGGACCCGGGAGGCCTGACCCATGGACAGTAAGCCCCATATACTCCTCTACATAGTGGTAAATGACACTACGGAGCCACTGTTTTGGACTAAGCTCCCGCTCTGGTGCCAAAAGCCCAGACTGAAATGGGTGCCCAGTGCTAAACCTCTGTATCAGCAAGCTAGAGCTCAGGGGTTATTTGACCTTTCAAAAAATCCCAGCGGCTTGGAGGCTGAGGCAGGAGGATCCCAAGTTCCAGCCCAACCTCAGCAATTTAGCCAGACCCTGACTCAAAATAAAAAAAGGCTGGGAATGTAGCGCAGTGGTAAAGCGCCCCTGGGTTCAATCCTCAGTGCAAAAACAGAGAGGGAAATCAGAGGAGGGCTGGGGAAGGGGCTCCGTGGTAGAATGCTTGCCTCTGGCATGGGTGAGACCCTGGGTTCCGGCTCCAGAATTCAAAATAAAAAGAAGGAAAGAGGGCTGGCGCCGGGGCTCACAGTGAAGCGCTTGCCTAGCGTCCAAGAGGCACTGGGTTCCATCCTCCGCACCACAGGAAAACAAAATACAGACATGTGTCCACCTACAACTGAAAAGTGAATATTAAAAAAGAAGGAAAGAACCTTGGGAGAGGGCTGGGAATACGCTGAGCCAGGATGCTCCCCAGCAGGAGGGGTCACAGGCCAGTGTCCCTTGGTGTAATGTCCCTCTGCCTTAACCCAACACATAAAAAGGGGAACATAAGAAACCAGATCCTTACCAATCACGTGGCTTTTTTATTGTTCCGTCTCTGTCCCTGTTTCATGGGAAAAGTAATTGTCTCTTTTTTTTCTTTTCATTTTCCAATGTCTTTATTTTACAGGGAAAATAACTTTGAACCGAACAATCTGCGTTTTGTGTTTTTGTTTCTGTGTTTTTCAACCCTCTCTGTCTGTAAAACCAACCTCCTTTGCTTGGCCCAGCGGGACATGTATTCTAAACAGGCAAGTACTGCCGGCTTCTAGAATTGCAAAGTAAAGCCAAATAATCTTTAAGTTACAATTTTGTACTTTGACAATGTACACCTAAAACAAAGTTTGATTTGTAGGTCAGGGACAGTAAAAGATTAACAACGATGACCAACGGAATAGAACAATTAGACAATATACTCTGCTAAAAGTTCTTTAAAACTTATGAATTGAGCCGGGCTTGGTGGCTCATGCCTGGAATCCCAGCGACTAGGGAGGCTGAGGCAGGAGGATGGCAAGTTCC